GAAGCAGTGGCGTTCATTAAGGTATGAAAGTTAAATGTATCTCAATTATATATGCAAAGATGCTTCCCCTCTGACATCAATTTATGCAGTGCTGGTTGAGAGTAATCAGTGGGAACTATCGTGTAAGTATGACAGCTCTGGAGTTGGGATATTAAAGTAAAAAACATATCTTGTGTAACTTGTATAGATATGACAGCTTACTCAAACTCATCAGTTTGAATATTAAAGTTGTAAAGTTTGGGGAAAATGTTTTTCAGTACGTAAGTTTTGTAGGTGTTCAAACCTGGTAGGATGCACATACTTTTACTGCAGTTGGGACATAATGTTAAGAGACCAAATTTGGGCGCATGATATTAAACTGTACAATGTGGACTTTATACTTGTGGTATCAATGCAAACAGTAATGGAGTAAGGTACACGTTGAGTCAGAAACATTGTATCTGTCAGATGTAAAGATTGAAGGTTGGAATTCATTTGTTCTGGAATTTTGAGATAAAAGTTGGGAAGAAAGTTGCATTTTGGAGACAAATCATTGTATCTATTGTAACTTGTGTAGTTGGAGGATTTAAGGTGGAAACTGTTAGTTTATATAGTACTTTTTATACTTGATATACTTGAGTTTAGTAACAAGTTCATTTGCTGGTGATCTTTTGTTAAACAGTATACATGTAGTGATATTTTTTGGTTTATTTCATTAGATTCCTTACTCCAGAGGTTGTCTGTAGAAACCTTATTTGGAGAGGTCATTTATATGTGACCTTTCCAATTACCATATGCTCAAGTTGTTTCTGTCTTTGAGGGATCTGAATATTTATATGTATTTGATAGATAAGTAGGACAGGATGTTAAATGCATTTAACTCCGACTTGTTGCCCTGATGGGGCTGTTTTTTGTCGTAGAGAAAAGATTGGTGTAATCTTGAAGCAGTTGTCTGAGATTTGGTCCGATTGCGCCTAGACTTGGTTTTATGTGTGGTGCTTATATTTCATGGAGCTTTTATTCTTACTTATTTATGGCCAGAAAAAAATGGAGAAACATAAACCAACAAATGTGTTGTTAGCTTTCAGATGGTCAGTCTGGTCAAACTCTTGTTGATTTCGATATCAGACCATAACAAAGTTGTGTGAAATTTAATCTCCACAGACTTGTTCCAGGAAGAAAGCCTGGGTGACAGAGGTTGGGCCTTGTGAAATAAAAGCTGTACAAAGAGTTTTTGAGAGTGTATATTTATGAATTAAGTCAATAAATGTGCAATGATAGAAAATTGGCAGTTACAGATGAAATGTCTCTAGTACTTTACGTATGTAGCCCTATTAGATTATATATAACAAATGGTGCCGTTTTGTTGATATTTCTATATTTATTATATATAACAGTAGAGAGGTTTTTTACACTTTGTTGTTGTGTTTGATATAGAAATGTACAATTTGATCTCATGTGTTGCCCGTGTCTGTACTAGCTGGCGTCAGTTTCATGTTTTATCATGATTACAGGAGTTCTGTTACCATGGCAACCAACAGTCATATTTTAGAAATATTTAGATGATGATTAAATTGCAAACATTTATGCACTTGACATTAATGCTGTGTGACAAGGAATATTCAGAGTATAAAGTATTAAATTTGTTGCTGAAATCTATGTTCTTCAACTCTACATAATGTAAGGGAGATAACTATTGTAGGTAAACTTATTTATATTGCCCTCTGTGTCAGACATTCTGTGGTTTTAAGATAGAATATAATTTCAAGATAAGTTCATAATCAAGCTTCATCATAACAAATCAGTCCTAGTTTTTTTCTCAAATCTAGAATTAGCAGGTAGTCAAAGTGCCGTTTCATTAATAAGCAAAATCTTAAAATATGAAATCATGAGGTTGGAAATGTAAAAATGTTCTGTAGCTGTCGAGCTGTCATCGACTGTCCCACTGTCATTGTTTATATAGGGACAAAATCACACGTGGCTATGTATCCAGCAGACGTGTGTAATAAAGCTAAGTTGTGGGTCTAAAACATCTCCAGTACTGACCGCCCTTCTGGTTCAAACAGATTTTTAACAAACTTTGATGGTGAAAATATACTCACAGTAATAATTTTTAAAACGCTTCAAGTTCATGGCATAAAAATATTGATTTATGATGTTCACATCATCAACGGAAAAAAAGAAGTTCATCAAAACTGTGGTAGTTATTAAACAAGACTTAGTGCACTGTCACTGGAATTATATAGAATCCATATGTAATAGAGAAATCTAGATATTTTGTGTTATTCAGTATGATAGTTCACCGAGTAATGCTCAAGTTATGCAATCAATGTTTATTTAGAGGATATCCAGACACGTATGATTTAGATATATTCTTGTGAGGTAGTTCTGTAACCTGCAATCCTGAGAAGCTAGAGATTCTGTTTATCCCATCTAACAAACAAGCAGAAGTATAGACAGACATTGTGATGTCTTAATATAACATATTATTAGTGCCCCACCATTTCATGTGGTAGGAGACTATCAGTTTGCACTCCGTCTGTCCGTCGGTTCTTCCATCGGTCCGAAGAGTTTGTCTGGGGCATATTTCTATACTACTTCACCTTTAGTATCCAGATTTGGTATGGAACTACATCTTAGTATGGTGGAGTGTCAACCAAAAAAATAGGTCACTGTGACCTATGGTTGGTATGCAAATATATCTTTGGATAGCGGGGTGTCAAGTGCATAAAGTAGGTCACTGTGACCTATGGTTTGACCTTTGACCTCAACATTTTAACAAGTTTGTCCAGGGCATATCTTCTGTACTATTTCACCTGGAGTAACTGGATTTGTTAGGCATGTAAGTGTTGGCTGGTTGAGTGTTAAGTACAAGAAGCATGTCACTGTAACCTATATCCTTAGATTGGTATACAGCTCCGTAAATAAAGAAATTATTACCAATTGGAGACTATAGAATACCCTGGAGAGTACTCCGCCTTGTTTTAACTGTCAGTTATCAAAACAAAATGAACCGTGTGCTGGGAGTGATGAACTTGACATGATATTGTATGAGCATCATATGTGAGAAATATAGATAAATGTAGACTTTCAGCATAATCTATATTAGTTTGGGAGTACGTGGCTACCTAGGCTATTGTATTTGATATAATGAGTGCCCCGTTTGTTTGTGAAAATTAGAATGGTTGCAGAACCTTCCAAAATTCTCAAAATAAGCCATAATACTGGTCTTCTATGGTGAAGGTACAGGCTGTCAAACCAGAAACAAGGATATTGGTGTTTTATTATAGTATTCATTAAGTCAAGTGCAGTACAATGTGTATAGAGACTCCTAGTGGTACATGGTTACCTACGCATGTGACATATATATCTGTCCTGTGTCCGGTATTTAATAACACTCTCTTGGTGTACAGCATATCTGCCATTTTCTCTCTTGGCAACATCAGGGGTCACAGACCAAACAACCACAGCAGTCACATACAAAAAAGCCACAGCAGTCACACACCAAACAACCACAGCAGTCACACACCAAACAACCACACCAGTCACACCCCAAACAACCACAGTCACAGACCAAACAACCACACCAGTCACACACCAAAGAACCACACCAGTCACACACCAAACAACCACACCAGTCACATACCAAACAACCACACCAGTCACACACCAAACAACCAGTCACAAACCAAACAACCACAGCAGTCACACACAAAACAACTACAGCAGTCACACACCAAACAACCACAGCAGTCACACACCAAACAACCACAGCAGTCACACACCAAACAACCACAGCAGTCACACACAAAACAACCACAGTCACACAACAAACAACCACAGTCACACACCAAACAACCACAGCAGTCACATACCAATCAACCACAGCAGTCACACACCAAACAACCACAGTCACACACCAAACAACCACAGCAGTCACACACCAAACAACCACAGCAGTCACACACAAAACAACCACAGTCACACAACAAATAACCACAGTCACACACCAAACAACCACAGCAGTCACATACCAAACAACCACACCAGTCACACACCAAACCACCACAGCAGTCACACACCAAACAACCACAGCAATCACACACCAAACAACCACAGTCACAGACCAAACAACCACACCAGTAACACACCAAACAACCACAGCAGTCACACACCAAACAACCACACCAGTCACACACCAAACAACCACAGCAGTCACACACCAAACAACCACACCAGTCACACACCAAACAACCACACCAGTCACACACCAAACAACCACAGCAGTCACAGACCAAACAACCACAGCAGTCACACACCAAACAACCACAGCAGTCATACACAAAACAACCACAGTCACAGACCAAACAACCACAGTCACACACCAAACAACCACAGCAGTCACATACCAATCAACCACAGCAGTCACACACCAAACAACCACAGCAGTCACACACCAAACAACCACACCAGTCACACACAAAACAACCAAAGCAGCCACAGACCAAACAAACAAACCAAACAACCACAGCAGTCACACACAAAACAAACACAGCAGTCACACACCAAACAACAACAGCAGTCACATACCAATCAACCGCAGCAGTCACACACCAAACAACCGCACCAGTCACACACCAAACAACCACAGCAGTCACAGACCAAACAAACAAACCAAACAACCACAGCAGTCACACACCAAACAACCACACCAGTCACACACCAAACAACCACAGCAGTCACACACAAAACAACCACAGCAGTCACACACCAAACAACCACAGCAGTCACACACAAAACAACCACAGCAGTCACACATCAAACAACCAAAGCAGTCACAGACCAAACAACCACAGCCACACACCAAACAACCACAGCAGTCACACACCAAACAACCAAAGCAGTCACACACCAAACAACCACAGCAGTCACACCAAACAACCACAGCAGTCACACCAAACAACCACAGCAGTCACACCAAACAACCACAGCAGTCACATACAAAACAACCACACCAGTCACACACCAAACAACCACAGCAGTCACACCAAACAACCACAGCAGTCACATACCAAACAACCACAGCAGTCACACACCAGGTATCTGTGACCTTTGCACTTCAATCTCAAGTTTGTAGGTATATGTGACCTTTGAACTCCAATGTCGAGGTTGTAGGTATCTGTGACCTTTGCACTTCAATCTCAAGCTTTTAAGTATTTTAGACCTTTGAACTCCAATTTCAAGGTTGTAGGTATCTGTGACCTTTGAACTCCAATCTCAAGTTTGTAGGTATATGTGACCTTTGAACTCCAATGTCGAGGTTGTAGGTATCTGTGACCTTGGAACTCCAAATCTCAAGGTTGTAAGTGTATGTGACCTTGGAACTCCGAATCTCAAGATTGTAGGTATCTGTATTAAACTGTTGACCCCTGGTGTTGTCACGTCAACAGGTTTATTTTGTTAATATAGAGAGTATCCATAGATTTGTCTTTTGCTGAATAAAATACATTACTGAAATACCTATGACTGATGTTGTTATAAAGTTAACACATTCTTTCCTGAATCTTGCTTTAATTCAGTTTAGTTTTAACATCTTTGCAATAATGGCCACACTTTAAGTGACAGATGGTGGGCTTTAATATAAAACACATGGTATCGTCCACAGATGGTGGACTTGAATATAAAACACATGACATTTTCCAGAGATGGTGGGCTTTAATATAAATCACATGACATGGTCCACAGATGTTGGGCTTTAATATAAAACACATGACATTGTCCACAGATGTTGGGCTTTAATATAAATCACATGACATGGTCCACAGGTGGTGGGCTTTAATATAAAACACATGACATGGTCCACATATGTGGGCTTTAAAAGTGAATACATGACATGGTCCACAGATGGTAGGCTTTAACATAAAACACATGACATTGTCCTTTGCAATAATGGCCACACTTTAAGTGACAGATGGTGGGCTTTAATATAAAACACATGGTATCATCCACAGATGGTGGACTTGAATATAAAACACATGACATTTTCCAGAGATGGTGGGCTTTAATATAAATCACATGCCATGGTCCACAGATGGTGGGCTTTAATATAAACACATGACATGGTCTAAAGATGGTAGGCTTTAACATAAAACACATGACATTGTCCTTTGCAATAATGGCCACACTTTAAGTGACAGATGGTGGGCTTTAATATAAAACACATGGTATCATCCACAGATGGTGGACTTGAATATAAAACACATGACATTTTCCAGAGATGGTGGGCTTTAATATAAATCACATGCCATGGTCCACAGATGGTGGGCTTTAATATTAAATACATGACATGGTCCACAGATGGTGAGCTTTAATATAAACACATGACATGGTCTACCGATGGTAGGCTTTAACATAAAACACATGACATTGTCCACAGATGGTGGGCTCTAATATTAAATACATAACATTGTCCACAGATAGTGGGTTTTATAATAAATAACATGACATGGTCCACAGATGGTGGGCTTTAATATAAATCACATGCCATGGTCCACAGATGGTGGGCTTTAATATAAATCACATGACATGGTCCACAGGTGGTGGGCTTTAATATAAAACACATGACAGTGTCCACAGATCTAATATTAAATACATAACATTGTCCACAGATGGTGGGCTTTAATATAAAACACATGACATGTCCACAGATGGTGGGCTTTAATATAAAACACATAACATGGTCCACAGATGGTGGGCTTTAATATAAACACATGACATGGTCTACCGATGGTAGGCTTTAACATAAAACACATGACATTGTCCTTTGCAATAATGGCCACACTTTAAGTGACAGATGGTGGGCTTTAATATAAAACACATGACATGTCCACAGATGGTGGGCTTTAATATAAAACACATGACATGTCCACAGATGGTGGGCTTTAATATAAAACAGATAACATGGTCCACAGATGGTGGGCTTTAATATAAATCACATGCCATGGTCCACAGATGGTGGGCTTTAATATAAAACACATGACATGGTCCACATATGTGGGCTTTAAAAGTGAATACATGACATGGTCCACAGATGGTAGGCTTTAACATAAAACACATGACATTGTCCTTTGCAATAATGGCCACACTTTAAGTGACAGATGGTGGGCTTTAATATAAAACACATAACATGGTCCACAGATGGGGGGCTCTAATATTAAATACATAACATTGTCCACAGATGGTGGGCTTTAAAAGTGAATACATGACATGGTCCACAGATGGTAGGCTTTAATATAAAACACATGACATTGTCAACAGATGGTGGGCGGTAATATAAAACGCATTACATTGTCCACAGATGGTGGGCTTTAATATAAAACACATAACATGGTCCACAGATGGTGGGCTTTAATATAAATCACATGACATGGTCCACAGATGGTGGGCTTAAATATAAAACACATGACATTGTCAACAGATGGTGGGCGGTAATATAAAACGCATTACATTGTCCACAGATGGTGGGCTTTAATATAAACACATGGTATTGTCCACAGATGGTGGGCTTTAATATTAAATACATGACATTGTCCACAGATGGTGGGCTTTAATACAAATCACATGACATGGTCCACAGATGGTGGGCTGTAATATAAAACACATAACATGATCCACAGATGGTGGGCTTTAATATAAAACACATGACATGGTCAACAGATGGTGGGCTGTAATATAAAACACATAACATGATCCACAGATGGTGGGCTTTAATATAAAACACATGACATGGTCAACAGATGGTGGGCTGTAATATAAAACACATAACATGATCCACAGATGGTGGGCTTTAATATAAAACACATAACATGGTCAACAGATGGTGGGCTTTAATATAAAACACATAACATGGTCCACAGGTGGTGGGCTCTAATATTAAATACATAACATTGTCCACTGATGGTGGGCTTTAATATAAAACACATTACATGGTCCACAGATGGTTGGCTTTAATATAAATCACATGACGTGGTCCACAGATGGTGGGCTTTAATATAAAACACATAACATGGTCCACAGGTGGTGGGCTCTAATATTAAATACATAACATTGTCCACAGATGGTGGGCTTTAATATAAACACATGACATGGTCTACAGATGGTAGGCTTTAACATAAAACACATGAAATTGTCCACAGATGGTGGGCTTTAATATAAATCACATAACATGGTCCACAGATGGTGGGCCGTTATATAAAACACATAATATGGTCCACAGATGGTGGGCTTTAATATAAATCACATTACATGGTCAACAGATGGTGGGCTCTAATATTAAATACATAACATTGTCCACAGATGGTGGGCTGTAATATAAAACACATAACATGATCCACAGATGGTGGGCTTTAATATAAAACACATTACATGGTCCACAGATGGTTGGCTTTAATATAAATCACATGACATGGTCCACAGATGGTGGGCCGTTATATAAAACACAGATGGTGGGCTTTAATATTAAATACATGACATGGTCCACAGATGGTGGGCTTTAATATAAAACAGATAACATGGTCCACAGATGGTGGGCTTTAATATAAATCACATAACATGGTCCACAGATGGTGGGCCGTTATATAAAACACATAATATGGTCCACAGATGGTGGGCTTTAATATAAATCACATGACATGGTCCACAGATGGTGGGCTTAAATATAAAACACATGACATTGCCAACAGATGGTGGGCGGTAATATAAAACGCATTACATTGTCCACAGATGGTGGGCTTTAATATAAACACATGACATGGTCCACAGATGATGGGCTTTAATATTAAATACATGACATTGTCCACAGATGGTGGGCTTTAATATAAACATATGACATGGTCTACAGATGGTAGGCTTTAACATAAAACACATGAAATTGTCCACAGATGGTGGGCTTTAATATAAATCACATGACATGGTCCACAGATGGTGGGCCGTTATATAAAACACAGAATATGGTCCACAGATGGTGGGCTTTAATATAAAACAGATAACATGGTCCACAGATGGTGGGCTTTAATATTAAATACATGACCATGTCCACAGATGGTGGGCTGTAATATAAAATGCATGGCATTGTCCACAGATGGTGGGCTTTAATATAAAACACATGACATTGTCCACAGATGGTGGGCTTTAATATAAAACACATGACATGGTCCACAGATGGTGGGCCGTTATATAAAACACAGAATATGGTCCACAGATGGTGGGCTTTAATATAAATTACATGACATGGTACACAGATATAAAACACATTACATGGTCCACAGATGGTGGGCTTTAATATAAATCACATGACGTTGTCCACAGATGGTGGGCTTTAATATAAATTACATGACATGGTACACAGATGATGGGCTTTAATATAAAACACATAACATAGTCCACAGATGGTGGGCTTTAACATAAAACACATGACATGGTCCACAGATGGTGGGCTTTAATATTAAATACTTAACATTGTCCACAGATGATGGGCTTTAATATAAATTACATGACATGGTACACAGATGATGGGCTTTAATATAAAATGCATGGCATTGTCAACAGATGGTGGGCTTTAAAAGTGAATACATGACATGGTCCACAGATGGTAGGCTTTAACATAAAACACATGACATGGTCAACAGATGGTGGGCTTTAATATAAAACACATGACATGGTCCACATATGGTGGGCTTTAATATTAAATACATGACCATGTCCACAGATGGTGGGCTGTAATATAAAATGCATGGCATTGTCAACAGATGGTGGGCTTTAATATAAAACACATGACATGGTCCACAGATGGTGGGCTTTAATATTAAATACTTAACATTGTCCACAGATGATGGGCTTTAATATAAATCACATGACATGGTCCACAGATGGTGGGCTTTAATATAAAACACATGACATTGTCCACAGATGGTGGGCTTTAATATAAAACACATGACATGGTCCACAGATGGTGGGCTTTAATATAAAACACATGACATTGTCCACAGATGGTGGGCTTTAATATAAAACACATGACATGGTCCACAGATGGTGGGCTTTAATATAAAACACATGACATTGTCCACAGATGGTGGGCTTTAATATAAAACACATGACATGGTCCACAGATGGTGGGCTTTAATATAAAACACATGACATGGTCCACAGATGGTGGGCTTTAATATAAAATACATGACATTGTCCACAGATGGTGGGCTTTAATATAAAACACATGACATTGTCCACAGATGGTGGGCTTTAATATAAAACACATGACATGGTCCACAGATGGTGGGCTTTAATATAAAACACATGACATTGTCCACAGATGGTGGGCTTTAATATAAAACACATGACATTGTCCACAGATGATGGGCTTTAATATAAAACACATGACATGGTCCACAGATGGTGGGCTTTAATATAAAACACATGACATTGTCCACAGATGGTGGGCTTTAATATAAAACACATGACATGGT